TAAAAGAAAGAGAGAGGGACACACACAAAAAGAGAGAGAGGAGAGAAAGAGAAAGCCCAGAAGGGACACAATTTTCCAAAAAGCTCAGATGGAGGGTAGTAAGTATTTCTAAACCTCAGTTTCACATCAGAATCACTGTAGGTAGCTTAAAACACCTGGGACCCATGTGGCAGTGGGGGCAGGTATGGAGCAAGAATGGTTAATGGGTGCAGTTGGAAGGAGGAATCATTTCTAATGTCCTATAGCATAGTAGGATAACTAGAGTTGACAAATACTTAATTATATATTTTAAAATAGCTAATAGGATTTTGAATATTCATAACACAAAGAAACGACAAATGTTTGAGGCAATAAGTAAACCAGTTACCCTCATCTGATCAGTACGCACTGTATACATGCATTGAAACATCATGCAATATCCCCCAAATTTTACAATTATTAGGTAGCAATTAAAAATCTTTAGTATCTTTATTTTATGTATTTCTTTTTTTTATATGTATTTCTTTTTATGTGATGCTGAGGATGGAACCCAGTGCCTCACACATGCTAGGCAAGTGCTCTATCACTAAGCCACAACCCCAACTTAATTTTTTAAGTCCTAGAGTCCATCTGCAACCCAGATCTGTAAATTTAGAAGGTGGCATCCAGGCATCCATATTTTTTTAACTCCCTCAGAGATTCCAACATGTAGCCAGTGTTGAGAACTGGTGGATGTGGGAAATAAGCAAATTTGAGGAATGCAAGGTATAAGGAAGCATGCAGGGCATGAAAAGGATCCGAAGTGTAGGGGAAATACAGGCCGAGGAAGGGATGCCCACAGTAGAGGAGTTCAATGGGAAAGGAGGATCTAGGGAGAATTATAGTGGTTGGAATTTAAAAACTAGGAAAAAAGCATGCCTGTGAATGAAGCATGTGTACATTGAAACTTTATTCTGTCTCCTATGAAATGAATGTCTGCAAGTAAAGACAGGTCTTGAGGAAGGAAAGATAGGTATGCTGGGAAAAAAGGGGACTGAAGGAACCTAGGCTGAGACCTCATCACAGTTCTGGCTACTATTCAACAGGGTCCTAATGCCAAAGTCAGACCCTTAGTAGCACTGGGACTTTGTCACACACAACACTCTGTGAGTTTTGGAGAAAAATGAGTCCCTTGATATCTCTGCCACCCCCACTTGTGACATCATGGAAACTTCTTTGTGACTGGCTCCCAAACACAGCAGCCAGCCCCCATCCGTGGTGAGGCAGCTAAAAGTGTAACAGGCTTGTGATAAGGGACTGGAGTCAACAAGTGGCAGAGGAGGATGGTAGGACAGACCCCTTCACCCTGGAAGCCCACTGGACTAGAAACAAGATGGGTTCCAAGGTGGGAGATGGCCCCTCACAGTGTCCATGAGTGACAGAGGAAGGGAAAAGATGAAGGAAGGCAGGGAGGGCCAAATCCCAGCCAAGTCAGGACAACTCCCATCCCCTGCCCCAGAGCCTTAAAAAGTGCAGGCACCTGCTGGGTTAAAGGGGACATCTTTATTGGCTGAGCAAAGAGAGAAGGCACAGTTGATAGTGATGCTTCTAGAAGCCACTGGGTCTCAGGGTCACTTGTTCGAAGCCCAGTTTCCTCCAAGACGGCTGTACTGACCATCATCATGATCTCGGAGAGGCTAAGAGGTGAAAAGGGAGACAGTGAGACAGGGTCAAAGCTCTTCTGCCCTCTCCAGACACCCTCAATGAAGGCTTCTAGAATGCTCCACAAATGCACATGACACATAGTGTCAGCTTCTCCATTCCCACTCACTCCTCCTTCTGATCTTGTCTCCCTCCTCTCAGGGCTCACCTGATAGAGCTGCTCGTTCCTCAGTAGAGTTTGAGTGTCCACAGCTAGAAGAACAAGGGAAGGAGTATCATTAGGGGTGAGGGGGGAAGGGATAATGATACCCATGAAAGCTACAGAGGGGTCTGCAGCTGGTCATATCCTCCCACGCTCTCAAAAGTCTACATGAGCATATGGGTACACAAGTTTTTTCAATATCCAGTGGTAGAACATGGCAAGAATGACCCCCAGATGAGACCAAATCTACCATCAGCCCCATTCTTCAGAAGGAGCATGAGTTTGTTGATTCATATTCTCTGTTTCTCTACTAACCTCCAGAGAGCCTTCCAGTCTCATGGCCTATAAAGCAGTAGACTCCCAAAGCAAGGAGCAGAGTGGCAATAATGTCAGCAACGATGATGCCAGCCAAGGTGCCTGGATGCAGCTCCACACAGTTCTGGCACACTGGGGAAGAAGAGGAGTAGAGAGTTTCCAAGATCAGGGAACCATATCTGCCTCCTGTGGCAGCCCTAGGATCTCTCATACTAAGACCCAAACTTCATTAAGATCCTACTGATGGCCTTGCTATATCCATCTCTCCCCTATCCCAAGGAATTCCCGAAAAGACACCCAAGAAGTAATCTTGGCTTGATAGAACCTTAAACTAGGTAATGGGCTAAATCCCTCTGCCAACCAAGCCTGTGGTAACAAGGCCCCTACCACTCTGCCTTGCTGGGTCAAGCTCTCTCTCCCTCTCTGAAGACCTCCAGATTTGACTCATGACATTACAAGAGTAACCCCAGTTTATTTAGAGAACAGACTGTTTCATTTCAGAGGCCCGCCATTCCAATCCAATGGGTCCAGGAGGCACATACTTCGATAATATATTTGCACAGTGGACTTCTTCTTGTCAATCCCTTCACACACATACGTTCCTCGTGGGTCCAGGATGCGTTTTCCCAAGTCCAGATTTTTATTGACTGCTAACTGTGTTCCCACTGTGCCTTCTAGCCACATGACACTGGAATTGCATTGCAAAAGCACCTTGTCCTCAATTTCCAACACAGAGGGGCTCACACTCGAGGGGCTCACTAAGGGAAAGAAAAATACCATAATCAGAGAGAGCTGTTTGGTCTACACAAGACCCCTATTCTGCTGAGGATCACTTTGGGAGTACAGGATAGTCATGGTTTCTAATGAGAGAGGCAGAAGTGATAAGAGAAAGAGTTCAGGAAGTGAACTGCAGATCAGGAAGGTTATGAAGCCGTAGTAGAAGTAGAGAGCAGGCCCTGAGGGACTTGGGGCAAAAGAAGAAGCCGTGAAGCTGGGTTGATCCAAGAACCTTCCTGAAAATGCATTCAGACCACTGATTAGAAGAAGGAGGGGAGAATAGACTGCTGCAGTTCCCAGGAAACTTGGAAAGGCTCAAGAATGTTCCCAGGTTGGAGAGGTCTGCAATTATTCTACTAGAAGCCTTCTAATTCTACTCCCCAATCAACTATAACACTACCACTTCAACGACTCATCCTCTTTCCTCCCCCTTGTCTCTTCCCCAATATCCACCAGAGGAATGGGACACTCACTCCTCAAGCCTCCCCCAGGCTTTAGACAATGGCTGGGGTGGGGAGTTGCTGCTATAAACTACCAGCCCAACGATCCAGATTTACGAGAGCAAATCTCATGTAAAGATTTTCAGTTGTTTCACACTTGCTTATGAGAAGAAGGACAGAAAAAAAATATTTATCAAATTTATTATTGATGCTTCACACACAAATCTTGTGGGGAGTTTAAGGCCAGAGGTGAGTCCAGATTCTTTCTAGAGCCACTGAATTTCTTTGACAGCCTGAGAGCATCTCCACAAGGGCACTGGAATCTATAATACTCATCCCAGGGAAAAGTGAAACTTATGTTCTCCCTGAGCTTCATATTCAGGGATTTGGATATAAAAACATTCTTAGAAAATAGTTATTTCTCCTGCATCTGAAGAAAGTCAGGAGTATATGTGTGCACACTCAGGGAGACATATGTATATCAAGTACTTTACTTCCTAGAGCCATGTCTTTGGAATTGTTTCTAGCAGAATTGCTGGGTGTTCCAGGGTTGCTGTGAATTAGGATGACTATTTAACCCAGTTTTCCTGAGAGTAAGAGGATTCTGGGACATGGAATTTTCAGAGCTCTCTTGTTTTGTTTTCTTTTGTATTGTGGTACTGGAGATTAAACCCAGGGCCTCACACATGCTAGTCTAGTGCTCTGTCACTAAGCTATATCCCCAGCTCCATTTCAGTTTACTTTTTTTCTTTTTCTTTTCTTTTTTTGAGACAGTGTCTCAGTATGTTGCCAAGGCTGGTTTTGAAATTCTCCTACTTCAAGGAATTCTCCTACTTCACCTTCCTAAGCAGCTGTGATTCTGTTTTAAAACCAACCTAAGACAAGAGCTGGGTGCAGTGAAGCACAGCAGTAATCCCAGCTGCTAGGAGACTGAGACAGAAGGACAGCAAGTTCAAGGTCAGCCTCTACAATTTAACAGGATCCTCTCTTAAGATAAATAAAAATAAAAATAAAAAAAGGGCTGTGGGTGTAGCTCTGTTAGATCACCTCTGGGTTCAATCCCCCGAACCACAACAAACAGGGACGTATTAGTATACTATTGACCATGTAATGATCTCCACACACCAATCTGCCCTTCTGCTTTCTCAACCTAAAATTAATTTTTCTCTTAAAGCATTCCCCTGAGTCCTGGAACATGACTCCAGATGGTCACATAATGATGGACAAATGAATAAGAGCCCTGAAAATACTGGAAGGAGTGCACATAGTTCCACTAAGGCACACACATACTGATCAATTTCCTATAGATCTCTGGCCTAAGCTCTTTAAGGAGAGACATTCAGGGCCAACATGTGCCCTGGCTAGAATAAATTGAAGCTAAGCACCTCTTTTCTACCTCTCAACCTTGCCCTCCTGACACCTAGAGTGTTGTTCTCAATGGAACAACATTGAGAAGCACTTTCCAGTGGACCTCTCTCCCAGTAGTAATGTCCTTTGCAGGGACCCTCTGCCACCTGCTTGGAGAAGCCTTACTTACCTTGATGGAGAATGGCAGACAGTATCAGATGGGACAGAAACCTGCTGAGTTCCATTTTTTGGTAGAATTCACCCAGCAGATAGAGCCAGGTCAAGGAACTACCAGCCAGAGTGAAAGATACCTTCCCCCAAATGATTCATGGGTATGCGGAAAATGTAAAGAGTGGGGGAGGAGCTGTAAGATGTCTGCCTCTCTGCTCTCTGCCTTTGATGAAAGGAGTAGGTCGGGGTGGGGTAGGAAGGAAGCAGTTGCAAATTGTTCTTTCTCTGAGCAGGGAGCTTGGGGTAGGGACGGAAGTCAAAGTAGAGAATATGGAGAAGGTTGCCTGGACTTCTAGGAGGTGAATGGAGATTTAGGACAGCCTTTCCTGAGTCATTGGTGAAAAATGAGAACTTCACAGTCCCTGTAGACAACCTAACTACATTTACTTACTAGTTAAAAACTGCCACTTCTCATAGCCCCTTGAGAGAAGATATGACCCCCATTGCACAATCCTATCAGCTAGTTTCCTCCCATTTCTGGTATTTCTCAGGACCCTTCCCTGGGCAGACTGGGACACCAGATGGAACAGCTTCTAGCCACTGGGAAATTGGACTTCAGAGCATCGCAAGCCAGAGACTTGAATCCCAGCTCCACTACGAGAGCCAGGCATGGAATTCTCCAGAGCCTCATTCTCAGTATCATTATAAGGATTTGAAAAAAGGTGTTTGTATAGTGTCTGCCACATCAGATGTGCTCCATAAGAGGAAGTCATTAATAACAATATAATCAACTCCCTGGCAAAATTAAGCCTTCCCAGGAGACAATGTACTTTTTCCCCTTATGACCTGTAGGGATTTGAAACTCCATACTTCTACAATAGGACTGAGCCATGTCTGTCCTGCTCACTGCTGGGATTTTGTGACAGGCACATAACAGAGCTCTGTGAATTTCTGTTGGTCACTGATTGACTGGATGAGGGAGACAGGGACCTCAGATTCTGGAAACTCAATCCAGGCCTTACCCCTGGAAATGTGATGGCAGTCCTGTTGAAATTCTCCAATCTACTTTCTTCCAGGCAGGCACCACTTTGATGATCTCAAAAAAATAGTGACAAAAATTCCTGAATGAAGGCCTAGTCAGAGGTGCTTTTGCACATGGAGTTCCAGCTCCAAGCACCTGAGAATCCTGCCTAAAGTCATTAGTTATAGCATCAAGTGACAACTGGCTGCAATCCTAGCAACAACAGGAAGCAGGATGTTTATCTCTCTCATGAAGAAAAGAGGTCAGGATCATACCCGCAACCTAGCATCCAAAGGGGTTCTCAGGGCAAGCCAAGTCTCTGAGTGGAAATTCAGTTCTCTCTCCCTCTCCCTCCTTACCACCTCCTCTGTACTCCTTAACAGAAAAACAAGAGGCATCTATCTGCACCTGCAGCCCTAAGAAAGCCCCTGCTGCCCACACTTGAAGCAGGGAGGCGCTGGGTTCTTGCCTTTGTGCAGGGGCCCTAGGTGCTGGGCGGAGCCAAACCAGTTGCTGCTCTGGCTGGCTGGCTGCTAAGGCTTGCTCCACACTTCTGCCAAGAAGAGTAGAAACTGACATGGAGCAGGGGAAGGGTCTGACTCGCTTCATCCTGGCTACCATTCTTCTTCAAGGTAAGAACCGCTAGGGGGTCTGGCAACCTGGGGAAGGGCTCACTGGTAGAGGCCATCACCAGAAAGACAGGGCTGCTGGAATCCTAACCTTGAACCTACCTCAGCAGTCACCCTGGAATTCAAAGAAGGAAAGGCAAAAATGAAACTTCTTACTGTTCTCAACTAGAGAGAAGTAATGTCTCAAAGGGGTTCTTATCTCTGAGAAATCAAAATAGAGGGCTTAACTGAGAAGACCCTGCTGCCGCCATCTTAGGCTTGAATGTAGCCCAAAAGAGCACAGGCAAGAAAACGGAAAGGGAAAGGTACGTATTCTCTGATTCAGAAATGGGCTTAGCAGTAGACCTGTGAAGCATTCACTCACTCACTCACTTGGTCAGTTGGCCAACTGGTCCACAAGAATGGGTAAGATCCAAATGGGCAGATAGTGCAAAAGGATAAAAAGATAAATAAAAAGTTTCTGCTCTAAAGAGCTTATGGTGTAATTACAGAGTTAAATTTCAATGTTGCCATACTGAGCATAAGGTGCAATCAGGGTTGCCTTAATGAATGTCCAGTTTAAAATATCCAGTGGTCATCTGGAGTCTGAACACATGGAGGGAAGCCAAAACCACTATAGTTATTGATATTGTGCAAGTACCATGTGATATGTCAGGATGGAACTGTAAGACACCAACTCTTATGGGATAATTAGAGGGGAGAAAAAAAAAAAACTCAAGAAAGCAATGAAAGAATGGTCAAGGACCTGAAATAATCAGAAGAGTACAAAGCATGGAATAGACAGCTTCCAGAGGAGAGAATTACCAAGAGTATGAAATGTTAGCGAGAGTCCAACCACATAAGAACATATTTAAAATTTAGGTTTGTGGGATCTGGCAAAATAAAAGTCATGAGTAATTAAATAAGAACAGTTTTGGTGGAATAGTGTGAGTGAAAACCTAATGGATGAAGGCAGGTGATAAAGGGCAGTGAGTATAGGCTACTCTTGAAAGAAACTGAATGAAAGGCAGGAGAGATGGAGCAGGAGGCAGAGGTAAAAGTACAGTCTAAGAAGAAATATTTTTGAGGGTAAGAGAAACTTGAGCACGTTTGTTGATGTCGGAAGTACAGAGCTAGGAAGGGAGTCAAAGGCACAGAGGGTAAGGCAATGTTACCTGCTGGGACTAGCAGAAAGGAAATACAGATGGCTTGGCCATTGGGAGACTTGTAAAGAGAAAGAAGCTGGAGAAAAAGCTAACAGGACCTGTGTTCTCAAAAAAACTAAGTGGAAGGCAATATCACCCGCTGAAACTGAGCTGATGATAGCCAAGTGGGAAACTTAAGAAGACAGGGAGAGTGTGAGATTATTTCTGAGAGAAAAGGGATAAAGAGCGAGGTAACACAGGTTAGAGGGCAGCCCTGGAGCTGGAGGGAGCTAGCTGCATATAGTGAAAAGAGCTTTGGATCAAGCAATAGAAATGTGAGCTCCAGGTCCAGCTCAGACACCAATGAGCTGTGTGTGCACTCTGGAACAAGGCCTCCAACCCTCTGGGCTCAGTTCTCTTAACAATCAATCCAGAAATTTTGCTATGGGAGCTCTCAAGTTCTGAAAGGAAGCAACACTCAGATGTAACAAACATCAGCAATAGTTCCATTTCCTTCCTTTGGAATCTTGAGTTTGAAGCAAGGGACTCTTTGGTGATCAATTCTTGGGGAGAAGGGCTGCTAAGAAATATATATATATATTTGAAAGAAATAGAGAGGGCAAGGCCTTGGGGAGTTCTGAACACAAAGTGTCTATGGCCTCTCCCTGGGGAATCAGAACCCATCACCTTCCCAGCAACCATGAAGCTCCATTACGTTATTATAGAGGTGCCTCCACAGAGTTACAGTTGATTGAATCATTGGCCAGTTAACTGAATTCCATCTCAGCCACTCCCCTCCCAGGATTGGCAGCAGTGACTTCAAAGCCCCATATGGTTGGTCTTGACCAGGCCCATCCTGAGTCATTGCCTTAGCATGAGCTCAAGTACAGCCCAAGTGAGTACCAAGAATAGCAGATGCACTGCATCACTCATGAATTCCAAGGGCTAGAAACTCCCATCCAGGAAGCTGGGACAAAAACCAAACAAATTCTTCATTATAATGTTGACTTCAATTCAGTAATTTAGGCTACATCCAGGAATGTGGGAACAGATTCTGTCATTCCCATGGGTTAGAATCCCTCTTGATCTTGACCTCAAATGACCATGAGAATACTTCAGGGCATCACAATAACTCCATGCCCACCTGATCCTCTCTCTGTTGTCTACAGGTGCTGTGGCCCAGTCAAAGAAAGGTAGGAAAAAAAGACTTCTTTCTGTCCCCAATCTCTGAGGAAATTCATAGAAATGTGACTTGCTACAGAAGTAGTGCACACCTCTAAACGCAACTCCTTGGAGTATTACAAGTTCCAGACCAGCTTCAGCAACTTAGCAAGACCCTTAGCAATTAGTGAGACCCTGTCTCAAAATAAAAAATAAAAAGGGATGTGGCTCAGTGGTAAAGCACACCTGGATTTAATGCCCAATACTGAAAATAAAAAGTCCCTCAGGAGGAAACAGTTTTAGAAAAGATGAGGTGAAGGGTGATAGATAGCTGCTATCTCCATTATCAACAAAATCAGCCCTGCTGCAACCTGTTCTGGGCAGCTTTCCTATAGATAAGCAATGTCTGGTCCTTGCAGGAGAAAGAGGAACCTGGTAAATAGATAGGTCACATGTAACTGTGACCTGTGAGCCATTAGCGTTGGTATCACCTAGGAGTATGTTTATAATGCAGAATCTCTCCTCACTAGGACTACACATTGGGAAGTTTGAGGCACAACTTTATTACTACACTAAAGGTCTTCTCCTGGTACTCTGAGGTAGAGAGAATTTCAGAGGCAAGACCCTTAACAGAATATCGGGCTTTTCCTTTTCAGAAAACCATCTGATAAAAGTGAATGACAATCGAGAAGATGGTTCAGTACTTCTGACTTGTGACTTGACCGACAAATACATACAATGGTTTAAAGATTCTCCAAATACACTTGTCCAAAATACAAGTGAAAAAACATTCAATATAGGAAGTAATGCCAAAGACCCTCAAGGGATATATTGGTGCGGAGGATCAAACAACATTTCAAGGCCATTCCAAGTTTATTATAGAAGTATGTAATCCCCTTTGGTTTGTTTATTGTGAAATTAAGCGGTGCTTACTCTTCTGGTGAGATTACTGTCTAGGATGAAGGTAGAAATAGATACTGAACAGTGAGTACAGTAATAGCCATTTCTCTTCATCTCAGTTTGCTTCTTCTTTTTTTTTTTTTTTTTTTTTTTTTGCTGGGAGGTAGGTACTGGGGATTGAACTCAGGGGCACTCCACTACTGAGCCACATCCCCAGCCCTATTTTGTATTTCATTTAGAGACAGGGTCTCTCTGAGTTACTTTTAGCACCTCGCTTTTTGAGGGGATGGCTTTGAACTTGCAATCCTGCTGTCTCAGCCTCCCAAGCCGCTGGGATTACAGGCACTGCTTTTTTAACAAGACAGTTTTCTCATCTTTTTGAAAAAGCATAATTAGTCCTGTAAACACTGGCTTACTTTTGGTTGGGCCCCATGAATTGGAGAAGTTTAGCAACACTGGTAAACTGAGTTGGGTGGGGAAGTGGGAATGTAAGGAAGATTACAAGGTGAGCAGCAGTGAAGAGAGGGATACAGGGGTGGGGAGAACAGGACCTGGGTTTTCTTCTATTCCACATAGTTCCTGGGCTTCCCTAGGACTTCTCAGTAAGGAACATTGAGAAACATTGAGTTCTTGGTCCAAGGATCTTCCCTAACCATACCTCTAACAGAGGGAGAAGCCTGCCGCCCCAGACAGAAGCGTTGTTGCTGGTAGGCAGGAGAAAAAGATCCAGGAAGAACAACACTCACACCCTATGGGAGGCTCATGCCTCACTGTGCCTGGTTTCCCCCAGTGTGTCAGAACTGCATTGAGCTAAATGCAGCCACCGTATCTGGCTTCATCTTCGCTGAAATCATCAGCATTTTCTTCCTTGCTGTTGGAGTCTACTTTATTGCTGGACAGGACGGAGTTCGCCAGTCAAGAGGTAAAAGAGGGCTGAGGGTATGGCCTAGTGGTAGAGCACCTGGCTAGCATGCATAAGTCCCTGGATTAGATCCCCTGCACCACAAAAACAAAATGAGGAGGTAAAAAAATGTTCTTACCTGAGATGTGGAACCACCCGAGACCTTACCTTTCCTTCCTACCAAAATAGACCCAATAACAGAGACCATGCTGGCACTTGTTGCTAATGTGCAGACTTGGGTGAGGCAGGAAAGAGACATTTGGTGTTACCCCAGTATATTTACCTGTTCCAAGACCCAACCTCCTCTGATTTGTTCTCTGTGTTTTTTGAAAACTCTTTACTGAAGTAAAACTTACATATAGAAAAGTGAATCACGAGCTTACAGCTGAAAACATTCAACAAAACAAACATCCATGCATCCAGCACCCAGTTTAAGAAAGAAAGTACTGGCCTGGGATTGTGGCTCAGTGGTAGAGTGCTTGCCTAGCATGTGTGAGACACTGGGTTTGATTCTCAGTACCACATACCAATAAATGAGTAAAATAAAGGTCCATCAACAACTAAAATTTTAAATATATATATATAAAGTAAGAAAGAAAATATCAACAACATCATAGAAGCTCCTCTTAGGGTCATTTTCAACCACTACCCATCCCACTACCCCACTACTATCCTGACTTCTAACAGCAGAGATCAATGTATCCTATTTCATTGTGGTTGTTCTTTAGGCAAATGAACTCATGCAATAAGAATTCTTGTGCATGGCTTCTCTCAAAAATACATTTATGAGATTTATCCATGTTCTTGTATATTGTTGATTCTTACACTATTTAGTATTCCATTGAGTGAATATGGTTTTTTTTTTTTTTTTTTTTTTTTGTTGTTGTTGTTCAGGGACACTTAACCATGGAGCCACATCCCAGCCCTTTTTTATATTTAGAGACAGAGTCTCCCTGAGTTACTAAGGGCCTTGCTAAGTTGCTAAGGCTGACTTTGAACTCATGATCTTCCTGCCTGTCTCCTAAGCCACTGGGATTTTAGGCATGCACTGCCATGCCCAAATGGACCATATTTTTAATACTAAACACAAATATTCCTTTTGTTTTTATCCTTCCAAGAAATAAAAAAAATAATATGAGATTGAAAATTTTATCAAAATACCAATGTCAATTTATCATTCTTATGTATGTATATTTTATTTTTTGTGCAGCTTCAGACAAGCAGACTCTGTTGCCCAATGACCAGCTTTACCAGGTAAGGGATAAGGAATGAAAGACACAATGCCATCATTAGTTGGGAGGAAACTTGGGGAGAGAAGCAAATCATTTAGAAACTACTATACTGAGAATGAACCACTTACAGCATACCAAATGATAAGATGATTGTCCTTTTGAGCAGAATGGGAAAAATAAAGAGAAGGACTTGAAAGAGACTGAGGAAAAGTTGAAGAATATACTGAGAGGGACACATAAAAAAGCTATATACAGAGCCTCCCTCTCCTCATCTTCTTTTGGCCCCTAGGAACATAAAGCACCCACTCCATATCCTTGCACATAAAAAGCATTCAGCTAACCAGGCATGGTGACACCCACCTGTAATCCCAGAGACTTGGGAGGCTGAGGATCCCAGTTTGAGGCCAGCCTCAGCAATTTAGCAAAACTGTATTTCAAAATAAAAAAACAAAAAGGGATGGGATGTAGCTCAGAGGTAGAGCACCACTAGATTCAAACCAGAAAGAAGGAAAGGAAGAAAGGAAGGGAAAGAAAGAAAGGAAGAAAACAGACAAGCCAGGCACAATGGCACACACCTGTAATCCCAGCAGCTCAGGAGACTGAGGCAAAAGGATTTCAAGTTCAAAGCCAGCCTCAGCAACTTAGAAAGACATGAAGCAACTTAAAGGCTGTCTTTAAAAAAATTTTAAATTAAAAATGCTGGAGATGTGGCTCAGTGGTTGAGCACCCCTGGATTAAATCCCCAATACCAAAAGAAGAGGAGGAGGAGGAGGAGGGAAGAGAAAGGAAAAATAATTCAATCAGTATGCACCATATTAATTAAGAGTGGGTAGGAAAGATGGGTTTACTACTTTGCTGTCCTCTTCAGCCTCTCAAGGATCGGGAAGATGACCAGTACAGCCGTCTTCAAGGAAACCACCAAAGGAAGAAGTGACCTCAGGACTCAAGAGTAGGTGGTTCTTAAACACCAGTTCAGAGTAAGTGCCTTTACATCTCCTCTCCCCCAACTGCTGCCAAGTATGACTCTCTTCCCCAAGCAGCTACAAAGATGTGTGTGTGTGTGTGAGAGAGAGAGAGAGAGAGAGAGAGAGAGAGAGAGAGAGAGAGATATGCATGAGAAGCAGTTGACTGTGGAGTCCCTTATCTACAAATACTGGGACCAGTACTGGTTACCTTGACCTAAGAAAATATGAATGCTGTGTGTAGCCAAATCCTCTTAGAGCAGGGCCTCAAGCCACAGAGATGCTAAATATTAACCTTATTAGTGTCTCTCCACATCCTATTAGCATTTTGGGCTAGTTGATTCTTTGGGTTGTCCTGTGCAGATGCCAATAGTAGCCCCATTATTATTTGGGGCTTACTGAAAGCGTTATTTGATTTTCCAACTAATTGCAATTTTTCTTTTTTTAATCCAGGTGTTCTCCCTTCTACTGAGTTCTCAGAATCAAAGCAATACATTTTGGAGAGCTCTCAGCAGAGAGATTTTGAGCCCTAATTCTAAACTCCAGGATTGTAGAGATGACAAACAAAGAGGAGGGGCCACCAGAGCAAATTTGGGTTTTTCTCAAAATAAAAGTCAAGGCTGGAGATATGGTTCAATAATAGAGCACTTGTTTATCTGTCTAGCATGTATGAACTCTGTGAGGCCCTGGGTTCAAACTGGGTGGCGGGGGTGGTGGTAGGGGGGATAAAAATAAGAACAATGTGGTGTTTCAAGAGTGCCACCTATTGGTAAAAATGTAAATTGAAAGTAAAAAATAACCCCTCTATTAGAACAGATTTTTTTTTTTTTTTACGTTTTAATTTTTACTGTTTTTGTATAGGTCATAGTTCATGTGGCTCAAACATGCAGTGTCACTTGCATTCCTATCTACCAGTTGCCTTCTCCATAGGTAAACCAGTTTCTTATATAGCTTCCCAAAGGGGTGTGTGTGTGTGTGTGTGTGTGTGTGTGTGTGTATCTTCTGGGCATTAAAGAGAAAATTCTCAATTACACATTTTTTCCCTTCCCCTATTTTTCACATAGATGATACCATACTAGATATATTTCATTTCCCCTAATAAAACCTGAAGATTATATATTCCAAATAAAAATAACTATAAAATGCAGACACATTGTATAGATTGATTTTAGTCATTTATTGATGGACATTTAAGTTGGTTCTAATCTTTCTCTTAAAACAGTGCTACAATGCCTAACATATTACTGTCATTTTAAAATAATTGCATTGAATTGAAATTTGTGTGCCACAAAATTCACCTATTTTTAAGTGATTCACCTGTTCTCAGAATTTTTAGCAAATTTACCCTTCACCATTACCATAATTCAGTCTTAGAACATTTCCTTATAACATCATTCTCTTAAGATGTGCTGTTTTGCCATCTCTCTGTTCTCACCCTCAGCCCCAGGTAACCACAAATCTTTTCTGATTTTTGTTTTGTTTTGTCTTGTTTTTTGTTTGTTTGTTACCAGGTACTGAACCCAGGGGTGCTTAACCACTGAACACCCCAAGCCATTTTTGTTTATTATTTTGAGACAAGATCTCAATAAGTTGCTTAGGCCTCACTTAAATTGCTGAGGCTGGCCTCAAACTTGCCATCCTCTTTTCTCAGCCTCCTGAGTTGCTGGGATTGCAGTGTGCACCACCACACCCAGCTTTTCTGTCTCTTAGGCTTGCCTTTTCTGAACATTTCATATAAATGGAATCAGACAGCATGAATCTTTATATCCTTTAGTATGTTTTCAGGGTTCATCCATGTTGTAACATGTTTCAGAATTTTGTTTCATTGTTGCTGAAATTCATTTTATGGATACTCCCATTTTGTTTATCCATTCACCAATAATTGGACATTTGGGTTGTTTCCATTTTTGCCTACTATAAATAATGCTAATATGAACATTCTCAAGCAATTCTTTGTGTAAATATGTTTCAATTTTCTTGGTTAGATAACTAGAAGTGAAGAATTTCTAGATTACATATCAAATTCATGATTAACATTTTAAGAAACTGCCAATTTTTTTCCCAAACTGGCCAAACTATCTTACATTCCCATCAACAATGTATGAGGACCACTATTTTTCTGTATCCTCACCAATATTTATCACTGTCCATTTTTTAAAATATTTTTAATTGTCAATGGATCTTTATTTATTTATATGTGGTACTCAGAATTGAACCCTCTGCCTCACACATGCTAGGCAAGTGCTCTACCACTGAGCCATGACCCCAGCCCATATCACTGTGCATTTTAAAATAGTTATTTTAGTGGATATAAAATAATATCATAGCCTTTGGGGGTAGGTACCAGGGATTGAACTCAGGGGTAGTAAACCACTGAGCCACATCCCCAGCCATATTTTGTATTTTATTTAGAGACAGGGTCTCCCTGAGTTGCTTAACAGCTCACTTTTGCTGAGGATGGCTTTGAACTCGCCACCCTCCTGCCTCAGCCTCCTGAGCCGCTGGAATTACAGGCATGCACCACCACACCCAGCAATAACATAGTCTTAATATGCATTTCCTTAATGGCTAATGAACATCTATTCATGAATTTATTAGCTGTTCATATGTCTTTAGTGAAATGTCTATTCAGATCTTTTGCCCATTTTTAATTGGTTAGTTTATCTTCTTACCATTCAGTTGAAAAAGTTCTTTACATATTTTTTAATACAAATTCTTTATCAAATACATAATTTGGAAATATTTTCTGCAGTTTTTTCCACTTTTTTTTTTTTTTTTTTTTTTTTTTGGTACTGGAAATTGAACCCAGGGACTCTACCACTGAGCTACATCCCAGCACTTTTTAAAAATTTTTGAGATGGAGTCTGTCAAAATTGCCCAGGAAATTTTACAATCTTCCTTTTCAGTCTTCCAAGTATCTGGGACTACAGGAGTGTACCACCAAATCCAGCACTTTTCACTTACCTCCATGGTATCAAATTCAAGGCCTCACACATATTGGTACAAGCCAACACTCTGAATTATACCCCTCAGCCTTCCCCATCCCCCTTTTTAAAGGGTCTAAATTTTGTAGACCGACCTTGAACTTGCAATCTTCCTGCTTCAAAGACCCAAGAAACTGAGATTACTGGCGTGTGTCACTGCACCTAGCTGTGTTGCATTTCCCCGCTCCCTGCCCCCCAGGTACTGAGGATTGAATCCAGGACCTTGTGCCAGCTGGGCAAGCACTCTACCACTGAGCTAGACCCCAGCTCTAATGATTATATTTGTGATGTCATCTCTAAGAAGTTTTTGCCAAATCCATGATCACTAAGATTTTTCTCCTGCCTTATTTTTATAATTTTTAGTGTTTGTTTTAGCTCTAATGATAAATGTCATTTTGAACAAGCTTAAAGATTATTTATAACAAGAACAAATAAATGAAATTGTTGAACCATCATGCATTTGCATTGTAGCTTTATTAAATGTTGACAAAGTGTACTTCATAGAGGTTATACTAATATACACTATCAATAACAATAAACAAATGTGCTTGTTACTCCACACATCATATATTGTTAAAATATTTGAACTGTGCCAGACAGGGTCTCGCTGAGTTACTGAGGACCTCACTAGATTGCTGAAGCTTTGAACTCATGATCCCCCTTCCTCAACCTCCTGAGCTGCTGGGATTACAGGCGTGTGCTACCACGACCAGCAATCCCCAGCTCTTTTTTATTTTTAATTTTGATGCAGTCTCACAAAATTGACCAGGCTAGCCTAGAACTTGCAATCCTAGTAGCTAGATTACAGGCATGTCCCACAGCACCCACTTTTAAGCCAGATAGATAGCTGCCTAGATATTCCAGAAATATTTATTGAATAATCTATCTTGCACCCATTAATTTATTTTATTTTGCAGTGTTGGTGATTGAACCCAAAGTCTTGTGTACATTAGACAAGGGCTCTACTACTGCAACATCCCCAGTTAAATACTATGTTACAACTCCACTCTCAAAGGATTATAAGTTTCAGGAAGGAAAAAAAAAAAACCTGGGTTTTTTATTTCACTATGTTATCTCAAGGAACCAGAACAGTGTAGGCATTCTAAAGACTGCATAATGCTTTTTGTGTGTATGTGGTTAAAATATGCATAATATAAAACTTATCATTTTAACAAGTCTTAAGTGTACTATTCAATGACATTAAATACCTTCACATTGCCGTACAGCTATCACCAATATACGTTTCCAGAACTTTTTCATCATCCTGAACAAAAATCATGTATTCATTAGAAAACAATTACCCACTCCTTTCTCCACCATCCCTTGGTAATCTTTATTCTACTGACTGACTCTATGACTTTGTCTATTATGGGTACTACATGTAAGTTGAATCATATAGAATTGTCATATATGGCTAATTTCACCTAGCATGATGTTTTCAAAGTCCATCCATGTGGTGGCATGCATTTATTCCTTTTAAAGGTCAAATGATAGTCTGCAGTATTTATATATTTTGTCCATCATTTATTTGTAGGTAGACATTCAGGGTTTTTTTTTTCTCGTTTGGTTATTATGAATAATGCTAGTATGAACACGGGTGTCCAAGTGCCAGTTAAGTCCCTGCTTTCAATTCTTTTGAGCATCGGTTTTGAAGTGGAATTGCTGGTCATATAATAATACTATGTTTAACTTTTTGAGAAACCATCAAACTGTTTTCCAAGTGGTGCATTTTTTTACATCCCCCATCAGAATCGCATAAGCTTCCAACTTAACATCTTCACCAACATCTGTCTTCTATTTTTTTGATAAAACCCATCAATAGTAGTAGTGAAGCAGCAGTATCTTATTACAGTTTTGATCATCATTTCCCCAATGACTACTGATGTTGGGTATCTTCTTTGTAGCAATATCTAATCAAGGTTTCACCCATCTGTGAATTAGATTGTTTGGTATTTTGTCAATGTATTGTAGGAGTTCTTTATATATTCTTGATATTAATCCTTTATCACATATATGGCTTACAAAATTTTTCTCATTCTATGAATTGTCTTTTTTGCACAGTGCTTCTATTTTTAAAAGTATGCAGCTCCCATTACTCTTGCATATTTCAAAACGAACCTGTGGATTGTATGCTGTTGCCACTGTAAAATCCAATTTTTTTAAAAAATCGCACATTATCTGGCACCTACACATGCTCAAATCTTAGTTGTTATTGCTGTCATTGTTACTGCTTCACAAATAATAATCTACGAAAAGTTACAGAAGCTGCTTCGGAAAGGTATGGTACCAGTGGGAAAATCCCTACAGAGTTTACGACCAGAACCAGAGATCACAAAGTTATATCTGCGCTAGATGCTACGATTTCCAAAGACCACCCTCATATACCACTAACTTCCAAACCACTTCGCCCAACAGACCCCCACCTCCGATCCCAACACGATCCCAGGGCCATTTTCGGCCACTTCCGCCCCGCCACAGCAGGCTTCAAACAAGCTAGCGCGTGCGCAGTGGGGATGTTTGCGTGCCATTTCTCTGCAAGGGCGGACGCATCCCGCTTCCGGCGCGGAGGTTAGAGTCCACACGCCCAGGCGCTTAGTGATGATGTCAGCTCCGGTTGCCATGCTGAGTCGGAAGTGGGAACCCTTTGGCCCCTGAGACTGTCGTGTCGTCGCTGCTGGCCCTTCAGGCTCTGGTAAGAGAGAAATTAGCTTGAGGGTAGGGGATCGTTGAGTCTTCAGTGGCAGCTTTTCTCCCAGTCGAATGCCAGCACAGGCCTCTCCCAAATTCCTTCTCCTGTGCATTTCTAACCAGAGACCCTCTCCCCTTCGTGAACTTTGACCCCGATTCGGAAACCCTTACATTGCTCCAACTTCTAATTTCTCAGCACATTTCTGTCCCCCTTTGCAACACCGCTCCTGGAAAAGGCCAGAATATTGTCCTTGTATATCTTTTGATTTCCTTTCTCTAAAACATGCTCCCTGAGGGTGGGTCTCCCTCCTCCCAGTGAATCCCTTATGGAATACGGAGGGATAAAATATAGAATAAACAATATATAGCCATATGCCAAGAGGGTTAAATTAAGCACCAGACATAGTGATCAAACCAGTTGAGTACTTATGGCAAGATATTGACAGTTCTTAAGGCAAGTGATGGGCTCCTGGCACTCTGCTTCATGTTTTCTTGGGTTCAGAGGACAGTCCTAAAATTGATCACAGCTCAGGAGCTAATGTTTAATGGGTATTCCCTTTGGGATCGGTTTTTTACGTCCAAAGCAGAAATGTCTTTAGCTTCACCATCATTAACTGTTTGGGTACCACAGTTCTTACTTGATAAGGTCTTTGTAGCTTGCATACAGATGTGTTGAAAGGATTTGTTGCTACATTAGCATCACCTGAAAGTATTGGGTAGAATATGTTACACTGGTAGCATTTTTTATACCTATTTTTATTTGATGTATTGTTTATTCTTTGTAAGAACAGAGACTTTACAGGATTGACTTAAAAGAGTGTGATTTGTTTGTTTATGTATGTATGTATGTATTATGTGGTGTTGAGGATTGAACCCAGGTCTCACACTTGCTAGGCAAACACTGTACCTCTGAGTTACACCTGCGCTCACAAGCTTTGATTTTAACAATTCAAGTTTTACAAAGTGTTTCAAATATTTCTGTTTAAAAATAGTGTCGACTCGGGTTTTAAAACATTTTGGTGCTCACAAGAGCTGACAGTGGCCATTAAAGGATTATTAGCACTACTTATAAACAAACTTGATTCAGGGGAGGGTGAAAGAATTCTGTAGAACCAGAGGTAGATATATAGAGATGTAGACCCTTTCAGTGGGTATACATTGTAAAATTTGTTTTCAAGGAGGACTTATGCAGAAATATTCAAAATCAAATTCAAAAGCTTCTGAAGATTATTAGTTGAACCATGCCAAAGACTGACAACAGGGTAGTGTTGTATCTCTCTATGGAAATTGAAAATAAGAGGATTAAAGTAGGGCATTATTGAATACTAAAACAAAATATCAAGGTTCCATTTTAAAAGATCTTTCTTTTGGAGTGAGTGATATCTAGGTACTCTTATTTACTTTGAAAGTTCATTGAATAAATCTAAGCCAGTATCTCCACAAAGGTACTCCTCAAGCGATCAGTCCTCCTTTTTCCTGTAAGCAGTTAATGCAGTTTAGCCTTTTTTCTATGAAGAGTTTGCATAGATATGAGTACATATGAAAAAGATGAGCTTATCCAGGTGCCATGGCACACACTTGTAATCCCACCAACTTAGGATGCTGAGAGAGGAGGAGTGCATATTCAAGGCCAGCCTCAGCAACTTAATGAGGCCCTAAGCAATTTAGTGAGATCCTGTTGCCAAATAAAAATAACAAGAGCTGGGGGATGTAACTCAGTGGTGAAGTGCCTCTGGGTTAAATCCCCAGCTACCACCACCCCACCACCACCAAAAGAAAGAAAGAAAAAGAGGAAGGGAGGAAGTAAGTTGCTCAGAGAGGTAGGCATAAACCTTTTTTGTTTTCAACAGACATTTGAGATAAAGATATATTTTCATTCTTAATTCTACACATCTTTAGAAACAAAAGAGCCACAGTGCCTGGTCTGTAACTTGCCTTCCACTGCATTCCCAAGACAAGTAATAAAGCCCTTAACCTTGAAGTAGGATCATGAGTAATGCTATTGATGACAAGGGGTTCAGGAATAATTACATGTCAGATTGAGTCATTCAATAAATATCTACTTAGGATTTTGTGATTGTGAAGTATAATTCCAACATGAAGAAAAATTAATCATATATGAACCTGTACTCCAAGAGTTTACAGTTTAGTACAGCAGAAAATCTGCTTGGGGATACAATATAGAAAGTTGAAACTCTCAGGAAAAAATATAGATAAAGTTGTAATAGAAAAGTTCTATATAATGGGGCAGAGAAGTGTTGAGAAAGAAGGACATAATGCCATTTATGGTGATAAATGCTCTATTTCTGTGTGTGGTCTTGAGAACCTGTGCCATATGTTCTATATTCCTGGCTTTCAGATTCCTTTTTGCATGATGGTGCATCTTCTTTGCAATGATCTGGACTCTTCAGCGGTTTTTGTTGTTGTTGTTGTTGTTGTTGTTGTTGTTTTTAATATTCCAAACTGGCTTATGCAATTTAGAGGAATTTATTGAATTTTATAACTGAAAAGTGTGGAAAACTTTCTCTTTCCATCTCTCAACTGTTTTTCTCTTTGTTCATTTAGTAAGATCAGCCTTTTTAGATATTGTAAAGATGGCAACTCTAGGTTTTATCTTACAAGTCTAGCAACCAAACAGGAAATAAAGAGTTCCCTTTTCTACAGGTTCAGTTAAAGGCCTGAAGCTGGTGCTCACTGACTCTTACAAGCCTTGATAAGGTCTTATGCCAACTCTTAGATCAGTCACTTTGGCCATATTCTTTAAGAAGACCAGACTCCTATACACATCCTATACACAACCCATTTGGAACCCATGAACTGAGTGGAATGAATATCCAGAGAAAATTTTGAGGGTATCATGTTGAAAAAACGGGACATTGTTTTGGAGACCAAAAAAAAAAAAAACCAGAAGCTTACTACACTTTTTGCTACTTACTACCTTACCTTGGAATGCACGGTATCTCTGATATTAGCCAACTAACAGTGAGACAATTTATGGTACCTCCACTTGAATTAGAAGTGATAATTAAGCTTATGCAGTGGCTACATGGGGGAAAGCCATCTTGAGGACTATTGTTAATTTCAACACTAAATAGGCATCCTTTTTCACATTTACCTCAAATAAAATATGCATGGTAAATCGGATGTAGTGGTGCACATCTTTAATCCCAGCAACTCAGGAGACTGAAGCAGGAGGATCACAAATTCAAGGCCAGTCCAGGCAACTTAGCAAGTCCTGTCTCAAAGTAAAAAGAACTGGGTGGGGATGTAGCTCAGTGGGAGAGGGCCCCTAGGTTTAATCCCCAATAGCACAAAAATTAATTAATTTAAATATACATGGCAAAAAATAAAATACATAGAGAGCAATAGCTGACATTTCAATTCCTTGAGGCAGTAGGGTCCTACATCATACTGCAAGGAGGCTAGACATTCTGCCTGTTATTACAGCTAATTAACCATTAGCTCTTATGCAGAAAAATAGAAGATGTGAAGAATTGTTCAGAAATGTTATAAACTCTTTTCCTCTAGTAATTAAGGGTAACTTTATGATTTGCATTAGCTTTTGTTAATATGATTCTATAAGGAGTCTCTCCTCAATAAACTAAGAGTAGATCAAACATTCTTTTTTTTTTTTCTTATACCTCGGCCCACATTGTTTCTAAGGCTCTGTCCTTGTAGCAACATCCTTATAAGCAGAATATTCATGCCCTATGTCTCTTCCCACCCTTTTCAGTGTTGTATTTTTATGGGGAAAAGCCTTTCAGAGAGCTCTGTACATCCCATTGAACCACTGAGTCCACTTGATCTTGAATGAGGATATGTAACCAGAAGAGTACAAATGCAGGCTAAGTCAGCCCTTCTAAACACCTTTGAGGTATCTAACAATTTTATGTTCCATAGTACACCTGACAGTAGAAATTTTTATTTCTATGGTATTGTAAAAAATCAGATAAACAGTGAAATGTAGAAATAAAATTAAGCAAAGACTCTTTAGATTTTAATTGAATAAATATCAGTTTTAGGCCTACTAAGAGAGAGCAATTCCTTAATATATATTAAAGACTCATCTAGTTCCAATCCTGATTTGCCATTCCAAATCCCAGAGTTTGTAGCTAAGAAATTCCCAGCTTCAACCTTAAGTCATACAAGTCTGAGCGGGTTCCACCTTGTCCTGGTGAATGAAAACTAGTCTGCCAGCATAGAGACTTACTAGAAATCCATAGGTCTCATTATTTCTAATTAGTTAATAGAAATTCTCTCTACCACTTCAATAATTCTGTTTAACCTATTTTCTTAAAGGTATAGCAGATGGAAACATGTGGACAGATAAATGCATTCCAGCTGAACATTTTTTTAGACTTTGTGGTTTTAGCTGTCCCCAGACAGACCATAATGTTCAGTTGGCGGGTTTGTAACCATCTTGCCAGAAACATCTTGAGTTTTGAAATGGGAATTGACAAATCTTGAGCCAATGCCTTTTTAATTGTATTTTTTAAATGGGGGGGTGGCGGTGGGGAGGAAATAGTAAGTTATAGCTGTTATGGTGTCTGCCCTTCTGAGTCTAATACCTGTTCTTTGCATAGCCCCTCCCCCTAGGTCTGGATGGAGGATACCTTAAAGTGAAATGACAGACCAGGAGAATAACAACAACATCTCAAGTAATCCCTTTGCTGCTCTTTTTGGCTCCCTGGCTGATGCCAAGCAGTTTGCAGCAATCCAAAAAGAGCAGCTGAAGCAGCAATCTGGTAAGTGAAGGAGTCAGTAGCAGCGGATGAGATGACCTAGAATGGAGTCTTCCCAAATTAAGTAATCTTTGGACACTTAATTTATAATTGGAATTTAAGTTTGGGGCAGAAATTGGTTTTTGTCTGTCTGTTTAGGACAGAAGTTTTTTGTTGTTGTTGTTTTGTTTTGTTTTTTCTGTTGATTTTTTGTTTGGGAGGCCTTCCCTTCCCCTTTCCTTCTTTTTTAGAAAGAAATCAGATAACTGGTGGTTACACAGGAATAGATGCCAGTTGTAATCCTAAAGCTGTCAAGCTGCTTCATTTAAAAAAAAAAAGAGCCTAGTAAAAGTTTTTTAAATAAATTTTTTTTAACATAGGAAACCAAGGTGGTAGGTATGAAAACAAGTCACAAGCAGCTGTAGACAGCAGATATAAAAGGAAAATTTATAAAAGCATTTTACCTAATACTTAAAAGGCTATCTCAAGTGAAGTACTTCTTCTGTTCTTCTGCCTCTCTTTTGTAGCTTAGAACTGTTAAAACAGACTGTTTTGAAACAAAATCAGAATAATCTCTCACCAGAAAAATGGCTTACCTCATTTTAAATCAAATTTAAGGTCAAGTTCATTTCCTTCTCCTATGAGGAGACATAGACTAAAATAATTACTATGGTATCTCTTAAATATAATAGTGTCTTGAGGACATTCACAATCTTTAAACTACAAATTTGTCCTTTCTCCTCTGTCCAAAAAGAATAATAGTGTTTCTCTTTTGAGAAAAGGAGAATGTTTATATTTTCCCTTTTTTTATTTTTTAAAAATGTCAGATGCGTAGCAGAGTTGTCCTTGCTTTGTGATTAGGGTTGAAGAAAAAGGAGGTAAAGGCAAGACAGATCTATAGTAGACAGAGTGATAGATGAAGCAAGAGACAAGTGCAATGCTAACTTCTTAACCAGCAGTAAATAGACGTAAGGCTGGCGAGTGGAGAGCATTGCAAATGGCAAACCGTGGGAATGAGGCAGAGGCACATGCCCTTCTGTTACTATTTTGGCAACTCATCATTTTAGTTTGTTTACGCTGATTTTATTGTGCCACTAGGTCCAAACTGTTTGCCACCACCAGTTAGTACTTTGCCAAAACCTTTGACCTCCAAAATTGAAGTTTGCTTTTACTAAACTCAGAACTCAAAATACTGAAGCAACTCAGTAACTCAGTAACTTCTGAGAGTTTTGTCTGGACTTTCAGAATACCCATCCTATCAAGAGAAAAGAAATATGAGTTCATATGGCTTTTATAGTACTGACTGTTATAATCATTCAACATGAGTGCATTCTAAGAGGCGGTCTTGATAAACAAATTTAAGGGACTCAGTCAATAAGGAAAAAGTGAAACCAGGGAG